CACCCCGCGCCCGCCCCGCCGCCCAGGCCGCTGCGGGGCTCGGCCCCCAGTCCGTAGGACTCGTTCCCGGCTGAAAGTGTGGGCGGTGAACTGTTCAAAGCAGAGCGTAGCTGAGATTCTTGAGTATCCCTGAAAATTCTGGGTGTTCGGGAGCACCTGAGCACTCCGCAGGGGTGCCCGTCCTGTGTCTCACCCCAGCACGGAGACTTGCCCCTCTGGAGGATTCACCGATCCGTTGGAAGAAGCGGGAGCACCGTGCTTAAGACGTGCCTAGTTTGCAAAAAACGATGTTAAACGTATCTCAGTGTTGCATTGCATCTACACGGAGGGTTTTTTGTTTGATACCAGCGGCTTTGTGGATGTAAAACGTTTGTGTGCATGTGGTAGGTATGTATTAGGCCTCACACTTACACTGGCCATGAAACTGCAGATGTTCTTAAATCCTTGTAAAAGTAACGTTGCTTTGAACCTAACTTAGTTGTGTTCTTCGTAGTGTTGAAACACAATCACCCAAGGGTTAATTGTATTTTTTCTGATTCTTTAATTGGAATGTGCAAATATCTGTATTGAGCTTTGGCTCACTTAGATTCTGTCTGGTAGAATTATCTCCCCTGGGGGACTTATGTCAGGCTTCAGTTTAATCATAGTAAATCCAAACTTAAGTGCTAACATGTTTTTATTGTATAATGTAGCCTGTTTTGATTTTTGAGATGTTACAGAATCAAATGCTTATATAAATAGGGCTATTTACACCCTCATTCTGAACTTTAACTGAAGAAGTTTATACCTGGTTACATAGTTATATCAAGGGAGGTGCTAAAGCTGCTTATTTTAAGTGTTGATCCTGACCATTATGGTTCTGTTGAATGGTTGCTTTTCCTCAGGGTTCCTGAAGTGGAGATTGTGCTATAACTGGTGTAGTCACAGTTGCCTGAACAAATACAGTGAGACAATACATACCAGCAGCTGAGGGCAGTGCACTATATCACCATTCTTTGGAGTGTGCAAACAGTGGAAATGTGTTACGTAAATACCTTATCACAGATCCATTTTAGTTTCCTGCTGCTTGGTGTCTGCCAGTTGGCATAGTGTGGCTTTGGCTATACCTGTTTGAAGTCCTAATTTGGATTTTTGGGTGGCCTTGGCAGAAACGGGACAATTACAAGAATTAGAGCCTTTGTCAGGCTGACGGATAGGTTTCAGTGATGTCCAGGGCTTCCTGGAAGAAAGGTGAGAATCTGCTGTTGTGAGTTGTCATACTTCTGGTTTACTGAGGTTTAAAGATGGTCCCTGACTTTGCCGTTGCTTCTTAGCAAAGTTCTGCCCAGATACAATTCTCTGTGATTTTATTTTTTAATAAGGGAATGCAGAAAACTGGATTTTTCAGCTTCTTGTGTTTCAGCGGCCTAAAAGAACCTAATTAAGTTAAGTCTCAGCAGTATTAAAAGTTTTCTTGCTCATAAACTTTCTAAAACTAGCTTATGCTAAAGCTATTATTAAGCTTGGTTGAGTACTCTTGACATGTCAAAGCACTTGCTGCTTGCCAAAGCATTTGTTACCATTGAGTAACTTCAGAGGTGCTGGGGCAGAAAGGGCAGGACTTCCACTTGGGCGTTTCTGGTCATGTCTTCCTGCCATAAGATGAATTAATCCCTACATTACATTACAAATGTGTGCTTGAGTTTTTCAGATGCTTTTTTTTCTATTTTCCTAATGTCTTTCCAGCAATACCATTTCTACTGAATCAAAACAAGTGTCCAATGAAACAGCAGTTCTGACCTATGAGTAGAACTTCCTGTTATTGGACGGTTGTTTCATTTTTAATGCCTTGCTGAGCTTTGTTAACAGCTTAAGGAATGTGTTGAGCCTCGTTGTTTAATAGAAGTATGTCTTTACTAAAGCAAAACGGAGGCAGGGCTTTTTAAAGCAAATCTTGCTGTGAGCTGTAGAAATAGATATGTGAAGCAGCAGGTTTCTCTGACCAAATTACTTTGTCTGAAACTGGAAATCTGTGGCACTAATCTGTGATACTGGAGGAGGAAGAGGAAGATCCTCTGTGCTCCTGAGGAGCAGGGTCAGCTGTGTGGGTGCTGGGTGAGAGGAAGGTTGTGGTATGCAGAGAGGGAGACTAGGGTGCAGTGTCACTAAATGGAGGAAAATACGACTGATAGTGCAATTTTGTAGGTGTAGTCACAGGCCCTCTTAGATAGGGAACGTTTTCTGTCCTTTGTGATCAGTTAACACCTCTTCCTCTTTTCCTGGGTATCAGTCATGGTTAGTTTTTCTTGTCAAAAAACCTACCATTATATCTGGGACAGGAAATCCATTAAAATCCCAAGAACAACTATTGAATCAGAAGGAATTAAAATATGAAGTCTCTGATAGTGTTTATAATCCTCTTGTCCAGCCAGGCTGTAGTTTTCATACTTTTTAGTGTACACCATCTGTTTGCATTTGGATTTAACTTTTTCTGTTGTGTTTGTTCCTTTTTTTCCTCACAATAATTGAGAGATGACTGTCTCTAAATAGCAAATTTATCTGTGTCAGTTACACCTCCTAACTATGGCATTAACTTTTTTTTTCTCAATACAAGCTTTTATTTGTAGCTCTCACACAATGGTTTGGATCAGTTCTGCTATATAAATGGCTAAACAGTCAATGTTAGTACTCCAGTTGTATCTAAAAATAAGGCAAGACTTTCTATCTGTAAAATTTCCCTGCCTTTTGGTCTCCCCTATCTGAAGATTGTTTTAAATGTGTTTGTTCAGACGTGAACCACTGGCTCTTGTCAACCTCAAAAAGAAAAATGAAGAAACTGGGGAAGAAGAACTTACCTCTCGCTTAGGTCACTGCAAAGCAAAAGCCACCAGGCACATATTCCTCATCCGTCACTCTCAGTATAATTTGGATGGCCGGGCTGATAAGGACAGAACTCTGACCCCACTCGGTACGTATTGCTACAAGCACCACACTTGGCCTGTTGAGAAAACTGTTTTTCAGGTGCTGCTGTCCTGATGACTACAGGTCGGTTGGCTCTGTTCTGAGTCTTGCTGCCAAACCTTAATCCACTTCCTGGCCCCTCTGTGGCAGAAAGATGTTATGAATAACTCTGTTTTCCTCAATTTTTGATCCCCTAAATCTAGATGTTAAAACATGCTTTACAGAATTCTAAACACAGTTGTTAAGAAACTTCACAAAGGGAACTTGAGGTTGCTTGAGCAAATTTTCCTGCTAGCTGACATAATTCCCCAAGGCTAAGGCTTTTAAGCATAGCTCCATCACTGATTTCGCGATAGTTTTCTTAAGAAGGAGATTGTGTTTCTGTTAGGTAATTTGTTGATTTATTAAAACAAAAATTACCCTGACTTTCTTTCCAGCTTGAGTGTTTATAATTAAATACATTTCTCTTTTGCTACCAAGCAGTGTATCTGGGATTACTGCTAATCCATTATATGAAATGAGGATAACATCTGTCTCTGTTAATCTTTATTCACTGATCCTCTGACTGGTCTCAAATGTGAATCAATATAATGTTTGAATAGTGTACTTTGAAAGCGGTGGACACCTTCTTGATTGTGTGTTTGCCAGCACTGTTTTGAGAAGGGAAGAATTATTGTGCAGTGCTACTTGAGGTTTTGGAAGTTTGGTGCCAAATGTTTAGTCGTAATGACCAGTGTGCAGTCAGGACTGAAATGCTAATTTCAGGACTAAGGTGCTAGCTTAAACTGGTAACAAAGTAAAATCTTACTTTTTGCAGTTCTTTTATGAAAGGGAAAAAAACCCCTGACATTGATGGAGACCTGTGTCTACTTGGATAACTTTGTGTGTAGTCTGTGGGAGGTTTTGTCTTACATGAATGTTGCCAATTTATATAACGAATATAATTTTTAAGGTCGAGAGCAGGCTGAACTGACTGGACACAGACTGGCAAGTTTGGGATTAAAATTTGATCAGATTATCCACTCCTCCATGACAAGAGCAACTGAAACAACTGAAATTATAAGCAAGCATCTCCCAGGTAAGTGACTGCCCTTAATTTTTCATTGTCTTTTGTTCCTTAAAACTGCTTCCAGTAGAATTCTAAGCTTGTCCTTAAGTTTGAGATGTTATTTAGCCAACTTCCAGCCCTGTGTGAGTATGTCTATATTTATGTAAGAACTAGAAACCCTAATTCTGCTTTTTTCCAGTTCATCTTTAAAAATACAAGAGGGATCTGCCCTTCTGGGTGACTTGGTGCTCCCTGTGTGTACTGCTGTGCAGGAGAGCTCTGCTGGTTGCTCTGCACTTACAAATTTTGTAAAGCAAGACTGTCACAGGCCATCAGGATTGGCTCAGTCCTGTTTTGGGCAGGAGAGCGGAGTGGTGAGCACCCTTCTTGTAGCAGGGCTTGCTGGGTTGGTTCCAGGCCCTTTTTGTGCTCTCCTGGGTGCAGAGGAAACGTGGTACACTCAAAAAGCTTTAGGGACTTTTCAGTTTGCCTGCTTTGTTTATACAGGTTCAGGGGTTGTGGTTCTTTGGTCTGTGATTTTTTTTTGTTTGGTTGGGTGGGTTTTTTCTTTTTTTTTTAATTTATTTTTCTTCCTGCCGCACAGACATACCAGAATCTAAACTAAAGGTATTTGACTTTACATAATTATTTCTGGTATGTTAGCAGATAATCCAGTATGACTAGCTGAATGTCAGTTTTCTCTAACCATTCTATGTTTGTTTTCTTAAATGTGCCGCTTCAAAAAAAAAAACTAAACCAAACCAAACAAACAAAAAAAAAAAGACTAAACAACCCCACCAGCTCTAAACCCCAAACCAAATGGCAAACATCCACCTAATCCCATCTGTCCTTTCTCAGAGTAAGAGATTAAAATATTCATATAAATATAAAAAGTGTAGCATTAACATTAATTAGCATTAATTAGCAGTGAGCATTAACTGACATACAGCTTTAGATTAACATCCTTGCAAGTGCATTTCCTCAAGGTGTAGCAGACTGGGAACTCTCAGCTTGCTGTGCCAGGCTGAGTGGGCTGTTCTCACACCCTTTGGTAGGAGCTGTGTGGAGTAAAATGGACTTGGAGATGGAGAGGAAGACATCCTTGATGGAAGAATATGAAAAAATGTATCAGCTGTAGAGTTGTGGGCCTGTTTGCAGTGACACGTGAAGTTACATCCCCTTTCTGAATGTGTATTTAATATTTCAGGAGTAAAAAAAATTAGTACTGATCTGCTGAGAGAGGGAGCACCTATAGAACCAGACCCTCCAGTCTCTCACTGGAAACCAGAAGCTGTGGTAACTTTTTACTTAAAGTTATGTTTTGGGGGTTTTGTATTTGTGTTTTTTTTTTTTTTTCCCTTCTTTACTTGTTACGTTTTGGGGCTGGTGGTTTGTGTTTTGGGTTTTTTTTTTAATATACTTTATATTTACTGTAGTGATAAATTGCAGATGCTTTTCATCACAGACTTAGATAACTGCATATTCTTCTCCCTCCCAGTAAGCGTGCAGAACAGTTAAAATAACTTAAAATCCTTAAGTATTAGCTCAGCCTCAAGTGAGCATCCCTGTAGAGAAGAGCTCTGTAGAAGACAGCCCATCTGCACGAGGGGCAGAGAGCAGCACGTGCTGCTGGGAGCTGCCTTCGATTGCGACCCTTGTGCCTCCAGCAGTATTACGAGGACGGCGCTCGCATCGAGGCGGCGTTCCGGAACTTCATCCACCGCGCG